CTGTGGCCTCTGCCCTCTGAGCTGGGAGCTGCTCCAGCCACTGAGTACCTTCCTGCCTAAGGTGACCACCCTTTCCCTGCACCCCTAAAGTGATGACAGGAAATGGAAGCGTGGCCCACAGAGTGCAGGGCACTCCTGATGCTTTCAGGCTTTTGTGGGGTGCATGAACCCTGCCTTAGAGTCAGGAAGGGGTGGGGCCCCAGGTTCCTAGCTCTGCTTCGACTGTGATCAAGTCCAGACATACACACGGGTGCACACACCCGATCCCGTGCTCTCCCTGGACACTAGAACTTCGGCTGCCTAGCTAAGCTCCCAGCCTCACCTGGCAAGATTTAAATTTAAAAATTTAAAATACACACCCCCTCCACCCAGTTTTCATCAAGAGAGGCATAAAGAAAAGGACATTTAAATTCATTAATAACAAGCCTCTCCCCTCAAAAGAATAAACCTGGGGCTTAGGCCACCTTTCTCAACCCAAGAGCGCTCACTGTCCTCCTCCTTATTCTCCCACGGCCGTGGTTCTCGGCCTGGGCTGCACATCTGACCCACCTTGGGAAGCTTTTCAGGTTCCCAGGACCCACCTGGCCCCAGAATTAAACCAGAATCTCTTGGGGGGTAGGACTCAGGCCTCAGGATTTTCGAATCTCCAGGCAATTCCAAAGTGCAGCCCAGGGTGAGACCCTCCACACAAGTTGGAGAAAAGATACAGACGTTGTCAATAGCTTCTGCAACTTCAAGTGAAATAACGTATAACGAATTTTACTAAAGGCGAACTGATATTAACAAGTTCCTGCAATATCTCATCCACATTATAACAAACGGCATTGAAGGAAGTGACGCTATTCAAGGACCTGCTGTACTAAGGATGCCCTGATGAGCAGGGAAAGGAGAGACATGGAAAACTACACACAGTGGGCAGGGAGCCAAGGGGCGGCCCCAGGCGCTGGCTTCTTCCCCAACCCCTGGCAGAGCAGCAGGGGGTGGATGGGCGCAGCAGGTGTGCACTGGCCAGGAGAGAGGACCCTACATTCCTCTGCTCCCACCGCCTGCGTCTTCTGAGGACTCGCACCTCCCCAGCAGCCTGCATTCAATCAGCAGCGTTGACCGTGGACTTGAAGGGGGCAGGGCAGAGAGCGAACGAAGCAGGCTGCTCAGTGAGACGGAACGAAGCCCTTTGTGCAGGACGCTAGATGTGGGGGTTAATTTCTTAATTCTCATCGCGATGCGGTTCACGGGAGACTCCCGGAATGTCTTTATCCGTCGCAGATGGTTTGGGAAGATGATAAATTAATATCATTTAAATGGGGGCCATGGCTGAAATGGTGAAATGGCAACGTCTTCTTTGCTGGCTCCAAAGGAGAAAGCCCCCGCCACCCCCCCCCCACCCCCGGTCCATAAAGAAGACAAATGGTAAACAAAACCCCCTAAGCTTTTGACAGATTCACAAACCATGCTGGGGAGAAAAGAGAGAGATTCATCTCATCTGACTTTGTATAGGACAACGGCCCCCGCCATAATGAGGCCTTCGCGGGGCTGTGAAATCGCGCTGAATAGCCGGAGAGTGCAGCCGCCCGTTCCCGGGCATGTTTATTACAGCCCTTTGTACGCGCCAGCCCTGCCAGCCCGGCTTGGTTCTAAACCACTGGAGAGGAGAAAGAACCCAACAAATTTGTTGCTACGAAACTTCCCGGATGGGGGACTGCATAATCACGTTGGGAACCGAATGCCCTCGCTCCACACTGTTCTTGTCTGGGTCCACCCCTGCTCTAGGCGGAACAAGGTTGGGAGTCAGCCCGTGGCCAGGAGTGTATGGGTGGCCTCAGCCCCCCTGCCGGGCTCCTCCCAGGCCCTGGGAAGTCGGGCGGGAGGTAAAGGGGGCCCTGATGCCATTCCCCTGGCCAACTGCCAACCTGCGCCAGGAGCCACGGCCGGCCGGTCGTCTCAGTGCCCCTGGAAAATGCATCGGAAACAGCAAAGGAGGAGGCAGGCGGCCTTCACCCGAGGACGAGGCGAGGCTCCCTGAGGGCAACCCCAGGAGGCCAGGGCATAGGGGTAGCTCCTCAGCGACAAGGTCTGGAAGCTTCTGAGAGCAAACCCTGGGAGATCAACATACTGGGCCAAATGCTTCCGCCAAAGGAATCACTTCCTTAAGCCATCCAGCCCTGGAAGGCAAGACAGCGGGCTCCATGGAGGTGAAGAAGAGACCTCCCTCTGCAGATCTCAACGGTGCATATCCCCCGCCAGCATCTCAGCTCCTGCAGCTGGTTCCTGACAAGACGGCAGGGTCTCTCTTGCTGAGAAGTATCCTGAGAGGGAACTGAGGAGTCAAAGTTCCCACATCCCCTACGGGAGTGGCGGGGGGGGGGGGGGGGGGGGGATGACAGCAGGAAAAGAAGAGCAGAGGGGGGACCTGGAACTGTCAGGTCACATTCTTCTTGCTCTGCGCTCAGAGCAGTTCTTCCCGGCAATGGCTTTTCAGCAAGCACGAAGCCCTTTGGGCAATGCTGTTCCCCACCAATCAGTGTTAGGACCGGCCACATAGCGTTTTCCCTCGCCAATCAGGGGGCAGGATCCTGGAAGCATTGTTCTTCCTCACCAATCAGGACACACTGAGAGTCCCGCCCCTTCCTGTCACTTTTCCCCAGCAGGATTTGCAGGAATCCTTCTGAGCAAAAATCCATCCATCCATTCCTCCTCCTCTGTGGGTTCTCCTCCCTGTGCTCCTGCCAAGACAGGGGCAGCTGCTGCCCAGGGCTGAGAGGGCAGACACAGCCAGTGCGGGTGGCCACAGCATTTGAAATAAGACAGGGCCACACCCTGCCTGCCTGCACTTGTTCCTCCTGGGAGCTGGGTGTCTACACACCATTTAACCGGGTGGCAGAGCCCCAGAGGATGACCTGCAGGTTCCAGAATCCTGTGGCTTCTTGACATCTCACTCGAAGCGGCAAGAGGCCACACGTGGGCTTTGTCCCACAGCAACAGAGGGGAGGAGGGGAGGCAAACAGCAGGGCGGCCAGGATGCTCCTTCCTGTCTCTCCAGGGGATACACCTTCCCTGCTCTGACAGCAGAAATGGACAGGGCGAGCCCAGACCTTCTCACCCACCCGCAGATTTCTCCCTTCATCCAGCCGAGTGGCCACTTTTGATCAAGAGCTGTTGGCCAAATCCCCAAGATATCTGTGTGCAAGCAGCGGTTTATAAGACCTTGGCTTCAGTTTCTTCTGTCAGTGAAATACAATGAACACTTGGGCATAGGTGAAGGAGTTGGATTACCTTCCAATTATGTTCTCTGACAACCCAAAGCCCTCACTCGCTGGTCGTGTCCCGCTCATGCCTTCCTGCCACTGCAGGCCTTTGTTGAGTCCCTTTATCCAGGCCACTTTCTTAGTCCCTGCTCAAGTCTCCTGGGGGGGTTCTCACCTGGATGAGTTGTTGTTTGATGTGGAAACAGTCCAACTACCTTTATGCTTAAGTTTCTCTTGACAACCACCAGAGGCAGCCTTAAGTCCACAGATCGGAAAGGAGAGCTCGCTTGGAGCCACCCGTTCATTTGGAATCGAAGGGATTTCTCCCGGAAGACGCAGACTGGGAACCTGTTTTGTTTTTGTTGGCTTGTGGGGGTTTTTGCGGATGTTTTTTTATTTGTTTGTTTTTTGAGAAAAGCGTTTCAAACAAGCAAGGCTAACGTCACGGGCACATGCTCATAAGGTCACATGCTTGGTTGAAGCTCTGCTGTTGCCATTTTGAAATCCTTAGCAATTCCTGAACAAGAAGCCCTGTATTTTCTTTCTTTTATGTCTGTGTGTGTGTGTGTATTACTGATTGCAGAGAGGAAAGGAGAGGGAGAGATAGAAACATCAATAATGAGAGAGAATCATTGATCGCTGCCTCCTGCACACCCCCTACTGAGGATGGAGCTCGAAACCCGGGCCTGTGCCCTGACTGGGAAGTGAACTGTGACCTCCTGGTTCATAGGTAGACGCTCAAGCACGGAGCCCTACTAGCCGGGCACGAAGCCCTGTGTTTTCATTTTGCACCGGGGCCTGCCGGTCGTGCAGTTGTCCTGCGCACCAGTGCCCAACATCCGGTGGGTTTCCTGTTGAGAAGATGATGCTCTGGCTTCATCCAAAGGCTGAGCAGTGGCCACGGAAGGATTTCTCTGCTGCAGCTCATCACCTAGGCCCGAGTCTGCCATGCTGGGGTCTCTCCAGTGTCCCCCAAGAGCCCTCAGAGATATCACCTTGGGAAGCCATGCTCACAGCAAGCCCTGGCTCCAGCCTCCAAATTCTGGACCCAAAGAGCCCCGATTCCTGGAATTCCCAGAAGCTAATGTGGAGTGGGGCTCATTCCTCCCCCAGGATCATGCAGTTCCCTGGCGTTTCATCAGCTCTTCTGAGCCATCTCACCATTGCTTCGTTTGTGTTCGTGGGAGAAAACAAACACGCAACGTTAACACATCAGTGCTTGCTTCAGTGAACGAATGCAGTCTCCATCTCCCTGTCTTACTTTGTCCTGAGCAATAAAGCTACTTGCAGGTGGATTAAGTGCTCCTCCTGCGACCCTGCCCCTGAAGCTGCGCTGTCTGTCTGTGCGAGCTGGGGGTGGGGCAGGAGGTGCATGCGACATCCAAAGAAATCCGTCTGCCGGGTTTTGGTAAAATAGAGCCCTTTGTGCGATGGTAAGCCGGGTGAACCTGACCCCCGCCCTGTGGTATGCGGCACACCTGTGCGAGGGACACGCAGCTGGGAGGGGGCGGGGCGACCTGCACCCTCGCAGAGATCACACCTCCTTTCTTCTCCTCCCAGTCATTGCTGCAGTGCCCCTTTGTTTGGGCCTACACCTCCGAATGCCAGGGAGGCCCTGCCTGCGTGCGTGCGTGCGGGCAGGCGCGTGTATGATCATGGACAAAAGCAACAGGAAAGGAGAAGCAGCGAGGAAAGAGAGGGGGCAGGGGTGCCCGAGGCCCGCTTCCCCGCTCCTCCCCCCCCCCCCACGCCTACCTTTGCAGGCCTTCCGGTGGGTGATGGGCTTGCCCATGTCGCGGTAGTAGCCCTCCTTGCAGTAGTGGCAGTGGCGGCCGGCCGTGTTGTGGCGGCAGTTGAGGCAGACGCCCCCACTCTTGCGCCCGGACAGCTTGTAGAGCTCCATGTTGAAGCGGCAGCGCCGGGCGTGCAGGTTGCAGCTGCAGGCTGTGGAGGGGGCAGGGAGAGCGTCAGGAAGGGGCACCTGGGGACCGGAGACTGCCCCCAAGTCCCCTCCTCCACCGCAGAGCTTCTCCTAGGCTCCCCCATTTTCCCCCACACAGGCTCATGGACCACCTTGCAGGGCCTGAACCACGGGGAGACTTCATTTCCCTCGGCACCCGGCCCCGCCATACACACTCAGGATGGGGAGGGGACCCGGCATCCCCTTGTGCCCAAATCCGCTTGCTCAGGGCTGTATTGTGCCTCCCCCATTCACCTGCTACCCTAACTGACCCTGGGACCTCAGAATGTGACGTGTTTGGAGATGAGGCCTTGAAAGAGGTGGTTAGGGCCTTGATTGAGGCAGTGAGGGTGGGCCCTCATCTAATCTGACTGGTGTCCTGGGAAGAGGAAGTGTGGCCACGGAGCCAGACACCAGGGCACACACACAGAGGAGAGACCAAGTGGGCACAGGGAGAAGGTGGCAGCCGCAAGCCACCTGCGGCACGGGGACCGCAGCCTTCCTTCCGCCCATCCTCCTCCCCTCTCCTGGTCCCTACCTGCTCCTCGGGGTTCAGCACCCTTTCCCTTGTTCACCCCTCACAGCCAAATCCATGACATCAGCTTCGACTTTGGGGTCCGCACTGGGACCCAGAGGCGAGTCCTCCAAATCCATTCACTGCTCTCTGGGCTGCCAGACCTCAGCCCCGCTGTCTCCTGGGCTGAGCCCGCTAGACCAAGCATGTCAAACTCGGGGCCTGCGGGCCACTGCCTCGTTTTAATAAACAGCTTGCTGCTAGGCTGTTCTCAGAACAGGAGCTCTAAGCGTCTGAAGTCTGTCAATGGCTCCCAGGTTTTCCTCTGTATAAAATCGAAATCATTTCCCGTGGCCTCGAGGGCTCTCGATACGCCGATTCCGCTTCCACTCCTCGCTCTTAAGCTCCAGCAAACTTGTTTCTGTCTAGTGTGCCCTGCGTGAGGACCCTCTGCCTGCCCCCGTATGACTTTCCTCGCCTCTGAGGACCTTCTCCCAAGCCCCCTCCTCATCTGCCTGCAACCTGTTCACCCTCCATGTACTGGCCTTAGCTGTCACTTCCACGCCCACTGTCACCTCCACCGGCCTGGCTTAGGCAAGAGGGCCATGGGCTCCCCAGGCATCGGCACAGCCCCCACAGCCCTCCTCATGCCACCCCGAGAATCGTGCTGCCTGCCTTCCCCCTTAGGTGTCTTATGCCAACATAACTCCAGCTTAGATCCACCCGATCTTGCTCACCCTGTCACATAATTTGCCCTGCTTTGGGGCTAAGCTTGTTTTAAATGGCATTTTATGTAAGTTCTAAGGAAAGACGTGCTTCATGCCAGACATTTGAAAAACAAAAGCAGAAAGGAAAAAACTGCACTCCAATTTCCACCGACGGCTGCTAACACGGGGGGCCGTCCTCGCAGACTTGAATGGACATTTGCTCAGCTGTGGAGCTGTTCAGTTCTGCAGCCGCGGATCACACGTGTGCATCTCGGGCTCGTGGCCTGGTGCCTCGTAATGGCGAGCATTTTTTAGTGTCAGACAATGTTCTTCATGATTTTGAAAGCCCGCCTAGTCCACCACTGTCCGGACGCGTGTGATGGGCTGCCTGGATCTGCAGTGGGTGCATTTACACTCAGGGCCTCCCTGGGTTGGGTGGCTGGGTTGCTTCAGTTTTTCACTATTATAAACAACACCCCGAGAACCACCTTTGCACTCACGACTTTTTACTCTGCTCTGATGATAGCTGTACAGTAAATTTCTCAAGGCAGACTTGGTAGTTAGGTTTGGGGTCTACATGTCTTAACTTGGGATCCAAACTGCCAAATTCCCCTCCAAAAAAGGCTTCCACTCCCATCAGCAGGATATGAGAGCCCCTATTGGACACGCCCTTGAAAAGAATAATAATATGCATTTGGTATCAGCATTCATTTTTTAAAAAAATCTTTGCCAATTCGTCTGGAAAACACACACACATACACACACACACATATGATGTTAATTTGCATGTCTTTGATTCCCAGGGAGGCTGGACATTTCTCCATGTTTGTTTTTCTATTTATACTTCACGTTTTGTGCACTGCCTGCTCGTGCCATTTGCCTAGTTTTCAAACAAGGTGTTGTTTTTTCCACCACGTCTAGCGCTCTTAAATGTGATGGATGAAAAAACACCTGTCCTTTCTACTATATAAGCGGCCAATGTTTTTACCAGTTTCTTATTCAGGTATTACTTGTGTGGTTTTCACAAAATATCTGCCCCTTTAATGTTTTTCTGTGACGTCATAATAAGCTTCTTTAAATGTCCTGCCCAGAGCCGCCCTCCACATCACGCCCCCATTCGTCACTCGATTTACAGATTTACACGTCAAGGTGGGCAAGTGCTTCTGAGGAGGCTCAGTGGGGAGACAGAAGGCAGCTCACGCCTGACATCTGGAAGCAGCTGGACCCACGAGGCCAGGGAAGGCCTCCTGAGAGCTCCCTCAGCACCCCAGCCCTCGGGGCTGAGCTCAGCTAAGTACAAAGAGAAGCCACAGCCCCCGGCACTGGGGTCGTGCATACACAAGTTCCTTGTCCCTGTGGACTCCCTCCACCAGTCCAGGATGACGGAGCTTCTCAGCGCGGTTAAGTGACTACCAGCCCGGGACCACCAAGCCAGGAAAGGGGGGGACGGGGGGCGGGACTGGAACCCAGGTCTTCTGGCTCCCGGTCCACTGCCCTCGTGGAAGGAAGAACAGCGGGGCCTAGACTACAGCCTGGCAGGGAGGCTTTCCTGCCAGCACAGAAGCCACAGGGCCTGGCTCACCTGCCCAGGGACAGGGGTCTGGGAAGACCACCCAGGCCTCACGCCCTCGGGCCTCTCATCCTGGGAAAGGCCTCAGGGGCAGCCTCTTCTCCTTCCTTCTCGGAGGCAGATGCTAATCCTGTGTCCTCCTCTGTCAGGATGGCTCCAGCTGCCCCCAGCCTCTGAGCCCCCGCTGGGAGCTCGGCCCGCGCCCCCACCCCGACTCCCACTCCCACCCTGAGGAGAACCTTGGGCTGGTTTCTCCCTTCCATAGGCACCTTACACCAACAAAAGGTTCTTCAAACAACTGGTCACACAAAAGAAAACTCAGAGGCTGAACATCAAAAGGCAGGGCTCCCCTCGATCCCCACCCCACCCCCACCCCTCGTCTTGGAGCTGTCAGGGGACATCAAGTGGCGATTGCCCACGCTCAACCTTCTGCAAAGTATTTTACAGCTTGTTTTCTTTCCTCTTTGTTTTATTTTCTCTGCACAAATGGAAAAATGCAGCAGGCAAAGCCGCTCACATCTGGATTCCCCCGCTGCTCCACACGCAGATGTCACCCACCTCCCCACCTGTCCCCAGCCCCTTTCTCAGAGACACCTTAATCCCCTGTGCCTTCCTGTTTATCCCCTGCTCTCTCCGAGGCACAAATATTGGGTATTAGTTTCATTATCAGATTTCAAGGCAGGGAGGAAAGGGCAGCTTTGTGAGCACAGAGAGGTCAGCCCCGGGCAGAAGGGCGGGGGGCTGGGGCAGCACAACTTCTGAGGAACCAGCACAGGCTGCCCTGTGAGGCGCTACGTCCTGTCCAGAGGTCCCCCAGCCACCCCGAGCTCTATGCCCCCTCACCTGTCATGTGGGAATCACCAAGGATACATCATGTGTGGCTGAACTAGACCCAGGGGCATAACATGGGGCAGGAGGGAGGAGGAAGAGACCCCCCGCCACACACACACACATACACACACACCCTAACCAGAAACCCAACAGGAAATGCGGCCCAAGCGACAAGGTTCTGTTTTCTTCTCCCATGAGAAGTTCTATGTCCTCGTTAACATATGCCAGTCACCACTGCTCCTTAAGCTTCTTCAAAGCTCTCCCACCAACCTGGACTGTGCAACCCCTCACCCCCCGAGGCCAGTTCAGTCCAACACACAGCTAGGCACTCCCGCCGCCTGCCAGGCCCCGTGCCACCGGCCAAGAGGGAGGCAGGGTGGACAGGGCTCCCCCGTT